GAGCTACCAGATTCAGTTTAACCTTTAAGCACGACTTTATTTTTTCAGCCTGCAGGTATGAATAATGCGAAGAACTATATTTATCCACCTGAAGTAATGGAAGCAACAATCATTAATTAATTCCTACCTAGTCAAATTGAGACAATAATTAATTGCATACCATTCTCGTCGGATTATTTTCCTTTTAAAAATGCCGCGTAGATCGAGTTTGATCTCTCCCTTGGGTGAATTTCTGAACCGATGAGCCAGCAGTTCTCCAAGAAAAACGATTATAGCAAGTAACTGCCCGAGTAAACTGAGCACAATAAGTTGTCTTAGAAATTGAGTCTTTGTTTCTTTCTCCATCTGATTGGCAATAACAGTTTTGTCACTCTGGGAGCTTGTTTTCAAGTACTTTGATGTATACCACCGAAAAAGGAGACCCGTTTCGCGACATCTTTCAATAATGTCATTCATTTTTTTTTTGCCAGGTAAACCATAGCGGAAAAGGAATACTTCAGGCAGAGAAACAAAAATTGGCTTCGCAATTTTCAATCTAGTTTGACCACTCGTTTCACGATCCTTATATTCAACATACTTTGCCGAATTCTGGAGTATTAAACAGCTAACATTGCCATGCATCGCTGCCATCTTTACACAGGGTATATCTTTGAATATAATTCTTTTTTTCAAATTCAATTTAGCTTCAACTGTCCCTGCGTAAAACTCCTCAATGAAGAGTTTATGATCAACAATTATTGGCAAGCCCGCATCATCGATTTGTTCAAATGTTTTATACTGTTTCTCTACGAGAGGATCAATACCAAAATTTGTGAATGAAGCGTAAATATCATTAGAGTATATGAACCCCAGTATGAAGATGAAGATGAATAGGATCCTTTCGTGACTTTTCGAAGGCTTACAAGAAATTCCAATGGAAAATATCAAGCTAAAAATTTTGAAGACCTCCCAAGTTTTTTCTTGAAACTTCAGAACAATAGTTACGAACCAAATTACTATAATGACGGTAAATATGAAAATAACACTCGCAAAAGTGTTGCTCAGTAAGTTCGTGTTGAACACATACTCATTTGGCATAACCAGAACTAAGTTCTTCATTACTATGCATTTCGTTGCGGATAATTGAGAAGCCCTTCCTGTAAGCATCCCAAAAGTAAAAATGTCTAGCTAGCTGACTTTATATACCGTAGCGCGAGCTTTGAATGACAAATGGTTTTTAACCCCTACTACTGTCGAAATAGTGAAATTCAAAATTCGAGCCATGGCCTGAATCAAGTGAGGCTCTCGCTTCCAAATTTTTACCCTTATTTTATGTCCATGCATATTTTCTGCAAAATTGGGGAATAACTCCATGCCCGGTTGAAATTTCTCGTGATAGAATATTTTGGTGAAAAAATTAAACTGATGCATTATTATTTGGACTGAGTTGTCTTCGACGATTTTCCTATTCACCCCGTAACATTGTAAATTCCCGCAACCAAGGAACTGTGAATTATCGGCAGATTCTTTAGCGAACATTTTAGAGTTTGTCACCAGACGATTCTCAACAATCAAGATGTTCGACATTGATTCGTTCCACGCATATTGCAGGATACTTTCTATATCTCTAGTCAAATTTGATGATGTTCTCAATATGATGAGCATATAATTCACAGCAAAATCTGTTAAGTCATTGATCGCATACATCACGTCATATATTTCCTCATTATTTCCAGAATAGTCTGCATAGAAGATGAATAACAGAGAAGTGAATTCGTTTGTCACAACACCAAAATCCATTTCTTCCAACTCAATCAATCCATCCTTTACTTCAGCTATAACACTTGGCACTGTCCCCATAATTTTCCCAAACAACTCATCTCTTACTGCATCAGAAACTTCTGAATTATTACGATTATGTATAATCACAGCTGTGTGGATATCACGAGAGTGCAGTAGGCGCGTAGCCACGCTGTCAAACCAGTCAATTTCTGGACGACTTTGAATTTCATCGGTTAGAATCGTGATGAAGAAGATCACCACTAAAAAATTTGTGATGGACATGACTGATGGCCTTCTGAGGTGAAATGTTGTTCACGAAGATGGCAATGGCTGACGTAAGTAATTTCTGATATCAGCAACAAATTAAATTTCAATTTTATATGATAAATTGAATAACCAGTAGCCTCCCAATACAGAATATCCAATGGGATTAATCGATAATGCTCAATTGGAACTCGTTTATGAGACGAATGCGTACTGAAAATTAGGCTGGAGCAGGTCAATTGTGTGAAATATTCATGTCCGATGCTATTGACGAATGTAGATAATTGTCTTTGATAACTGTTCTCAATACGCTGATGGGTTTCACTTTTAATTTACACTGATAATATCCATAATTCGTTGATACTGCCACGTTAATTTTCCCAGATGAATGATGCGTAGTTTTCACGTTTCAACGTAATTTGTGACTCGACTATTTCCGTCAAGTCAAGTTCAATTACGATATAAACTAAATAATGATGCATGTGCAAAATGCATTGAGATAAATTAGAACTTGACAATAAACCCACGAAAGCTGTTGAATAGCTTCTATCGACGAGGGGTGGCAAACGACTCACGAGAGTCCATATGTGACGGGGGAAACTACATATTTTGGATGCTTCCGACGAGTGACAAATTGTTTTAAATGATAACTGGATTTAGATAGTAGACTCAAGCTGGCATGCGTACGTATGAAATGCGTTGACATACCTTAGAATTCGACAATGAACCTGTGGGTGTCGTTAAATAACTCCCGCCCACGAAGGGCGATAAATAATTTGTTCCCATGAGCGGTGATGAATGATAATATTTCAATGGTGTTGATAAGTGACCAATTGTTTTGAATAATCATGCGATGTGAACAAGAATTTCGATTTTCTATCAGATTATCTATGATGGATTTACTTTCACGAAACATAAAAGGTGATGAGGGTGGAAACGTCAATTTCGGGATTACGATAGATAAATTAGTCACACGTGACTCTAACGGAGAGAAAAATTTCCTCAACGAATATTTTAGAAATAAACTAAGTGAAATCGGTTGCGTAGTTTTGAAGAATTGCAAATAAAAAATTTTCAGAAAAAGTCGAATATCACCGAAACTACTGATACGATTGAGCCCATCTTCAATATGCACTGTCCTTATGATGAGAACAAGATTCTGTCCAAATTTCAAGTTGATATCTCGATTTTTGTATTAACTAGAGTAATTGCAGGGTTTTTTTAAATGAAAAAACGGAAATATCTCGAAAACTTTGTGTGCACGGGTGTATATGTTTTGACTGATTCTGATAGAAGGCATCGAAGTGATTATTTTGAAAGCAAAAAAATCGCAATCGGTCCACTAGTTTTGAAGATATTTTGGGGAAACGATTTATAAACGAATCGCTTTTTCTTAAAAACTATTTGATCGATCAGGCTGCAATTTTGCGCAGAATTAGTTCTCGTTAAGACCTATAACCTGATGAAATTTCAAATTTTTTAAAATTACTTTAGCCACTTGGTTACTCAATTTTCTTAGAATTGACCACTGGGAAGGTGACGGTGGTCAATCAACAAAATTGGAGAATGTCAAAGTTGGACGATTACAATACTTCCATTCAGAAGCAAAAACAGAAAAAAACCTGATATTTGCCAGGGAGATATTGTCGGTGAAAATATGTTTCAAAATGTATGAATTTCGTTATGATTAATGGATTATACAAAACAGATAATTCATTCATTCACTCCATCGTCTGAACAATATTTCATTTCTAGCTAACCATACACTACTGGGAGAAAAACGAGAAAGTTCTCAACCAAGTCTTACTTGTGCCAAGAAAATAGTTTTTTGAAAATTATCAAAAAAGGATTTTTTGGTGTCAAACATGCAGAGAGTGCGCCAGAATGAATAAATATTGTCGCAAAAATAGATTTAGTAGTTCAAAAAAAATTGCATTCTCTGTAGACGCAAGAAGTGTCATTTCTAGCACTACTCCTTCGTTATTCAATACTCCTATACGTATTTTGCTCCCGAAAAATCTTTGTTTTATGCGAAACAAGGGATAGTAATTTTTCGTTTCGGCTTTCTAATAATCATAGACAAGCAATGAGCTCTTAACTGACACAATAATAATGCTATGATAGCAATCTTGTAACTTAGGGATAAAATATTTGTTGAAAAATTTTCCTCTATATGAAATATTTTCATCCTGAAAAGGCACCGCCTGGTGTGAATTATCCGCCTCTTGAGTCAAATATTTCGTTGCTGTTGAAAACACAACAATTATTCATATTTGAGACTTTCAAATTCAAACCAAACTAATTCTGTTTTGGCAATTGTTTGACAACGTGTTTTTCTCTCAGTGTAGGTATTCGAAATGGAGAAACGTTTGTTCGGATTGAATGTTTTCTTTCAAATGTAGGTATTATTCAGCTCTATCCATCGACATTAATTCAAATTGAATCCGTCTATTACATTTTTTAAGTTTTGCATTAAAAAAAAATCGATTGTATCACCATAACTAAAAAAAATGTTCTGAATTCACCGAATTATGGCTTTAAAGAATTCTTTGGATGTCTCTTCGACCGAGTTCGCAGTTGAAGGCGTTAGCTGTACTCGTTTTGATTTTTTTGAATAATTTTCAAAAATTGTGTATTTTATCAAAATTACGATTCCGAGGATACCATTGGATATCATGCCGTAAATTCATTCAATAGTCGCTGAAAATGTTGACAGCCAACCTGTCAAAGTTGAAAGATCGTTACGATACCTATATTCCATTCTAGAGAAGTTCGATTTCTCGCAATCAAATGCATCTCAAGAAGAGATAACTGGTATTCCCTATGAAATCATGTTTACTTCAAAAATAACAACCAAATGATAGTTGGTTCAAAAAAAATTCTCTTGATAGAACAGACTTTCTCTCAACGCATAAAATACTCAAGGTCTCCCTACTCTCAGCTAAATTCCTCTCAAAGTTAACCAATAAACTTACCCACAAGAAGCAGCTTCCACAATAGCCATGCAGTACGCCTCCGTCAAACTAGTATTCAAGAAGATATGTCCTTTATTAAGGACATGCCTCACTTGAGAGTGCTCCAAACTCCCAAGTAACGTAACTCGATGTTGGAGTAAATTTCTCTCCCTTATCTCCTCGATGAGCCAGCGTTTGGGACCATCACCTCCAATCAAGAACTGAACATTCTCGTACCTGGCGCATATCTCGGGGATGATCTGGGCCAGAAGATCCACTCCCTTTCGATACACCAGCCTCGACACCACGACAATAGTGATACAATTGTTTTTCCTCTTCGTGATATCAGGAGTGAATAAAGCAGTGTCCACAGCATTTGGAATCACCGAGACTCTCTCCCGATTCACTTTAGCCCTCAAGACTGTATTCTCCTTTCCAGTGTGTGACACACAGATGCAGTGATTGCAATCGGCCAACGAAATCTCCAGACACTTATTCGTCAAAACAGCTGAGGCATCAGCAAATCCGAACAACGAGTGATCGGTGAAAACTGTCTTCAATGCCATCAGTCGTCCCACCAACATTCCTTCGTGTGCAAGTGCAGAAAATGCCGAGTGTCCATGAATGATCTCGATCTTTTCACGAATAAAAATGTAACGGATTAGGGGAATGGAGCATATCATCGTTGGAAGTACACACTGATTGTAGAAAACTTTAATCGGTAGGTAGTAAACTTTGAGGCCATTGGTCATGTAACGGACACCAACACGATCACTGTAGGAGTGGGTGAGCACTACAACTTTGTGCCCACGACCAATCAAACATTGCGCGAGGTTGAAGATGTGCTCTTCCACTCCTCCCATGTTTGGGTAGAAGAAGTCTGAGATCATACTGAAACATTGACAACAGGTTTTTTTTATGGCTAAAATGTTAATTGATGCAACCGTTTGTTAGCTTCATTTTCGTTTCATTTATTATTTAAAGATGTACAGCAACAGCTTTTGGGCTTTTTCAAGGTGAATATACGACAGATTTTCAGTGATTTAAGCCATTCGTTGAAATCTCTGCAAATGAACTCCCAAAAAAATCTTGAGGATTTTTTGTAGAAGAATAAAATTATCCCTTCCCTTATCAAGAATAATATTTTTCATGAAATTGAATTAAATTTAAAATTAAATCAATTGCAATTCAATTTCAATTAATGGCGATTGATAGGGCTGAATAATATGGCGATGGATAGGGCTTAGCAATACCTTCATTAAAAAAATGATTCAATTCCATCGATTCATTAGCGAGAATTGCCGAAAAACTTTGTCACATAGGAGAGCTTGGGGTAAAACGGACACTTGACTTTTGAAAAAATGTTAATAAGGGGTTGTAATGTTGATAAAATTTAATAATTTTTTTTCAATATAAAGAACAATTCTTTCCCTTTGTGACGAGCCTAAGCTGAACTCAATTGATAAATTTGTTTCTGAGTTATGAATAATTATAAAAACGTCTAAATTGTCCATTTTACCCCACTCGCCCCTACATACATACATACGGTCGGACGGGCACGTCTAAAAATTGCATTTTCGGACTTTCTGGATCATAATGGGTCGATACTAGGAATGTGAGTGACAAAAATGACCGGTCAAATGACGGTCAATTACCGCGGTCATGACGGGTAATTACCATGTCCATAAATCTGACGATTCGGTCAGGAATTCGAAAAACGACCAATTCAATTCTGGCGGTCAATTCTCATCTATATAGATGACACAGAAATTCTTATTCGGTTACTCGGTGTCGGCAAGGTTGCTGGCGATCACAGGGACCCTACGTTNGGTAATTACCATGTCCATAAATCTGACGATTCGGTCAGGAATTCGAAAAACGACCAATTCAATTCTGGCGGTCAATTCTCATCTATATAGATGACACAGAAATTCTTATTCGGTTACTCGGTGTCGGCAAGGTTGCTGGCGATCACAGGGACCCTACGTCGCCACTAGGGGTCTATGCGACACTAGATAACTAAATTCGTTCAGCAAGCAATTCAGATGAAGAGCTGAGCGAGCTAGATGAGGGAGCCGGTGGCAATTATGATAATTAAGGAGATAAGGACTGAAGACGAGCCTCATCCAGCATCCTCCTAATTTAATATGAAGTTTTTGACCAAAAACAATATATACAGAGACCTATATTTAATTAATTTTGTTGACGTTTATTAAGTTTATGAGTTTATTATGAGTGATCTCGAGTATCGAATTTATGATTGTTTTGTAATTCGTTCCAATAGAAGTTAACTTTAAATTATGAAATGCGATTCAATTCCTAACTAATGAAATAAAATAATCAAAAATCTGAACTAAAAAATTACCAAAAAGAAAATGACCGTTAATTTGCATCTGTATAGAGAAATTTTGGTCATTTTCTTAAATTTTTGACGCTGGTTGTTCATGACGGTCATTTTGCATGGGGCATTATCTCGGTGTCAGAAAATGGTCAGAAAACGGTCAATTTTGCCTGACCTGACCGAATTGAAAAATGACGGTCATTTCACATCCCTAGTCGATATAACACAAAAAATCTGAAACTTAAATTTGAACGATTACAATGCATCCGTTCGAAAGCAAAAATCAACAAACATTCCCTTCGACCACTGACCTAACAATAATTTTGAGGTTAAACCCTTCGAAACACTGAGCCCTCATTCCAAGTCCCCAAAAATTCTCATCCACTCACCATATCCTGTGCTTACTCTCGTTCATCCTCACAGTACCAAATGAACACTACATAATGAACACTACATAATGACCTAATGACCTATACATGAACTATTCCGTCAACATGACACTTGTCAACGGGAGTCACGCTACTCGCATCGCGCCATTTCTATTTACGCAGAAGGTGTGTTTATCAATCGATCCGAGCCCGCTGCACCTACCGCCCACCGCCCCGTAACGAAACCAAAGTCACTGATGATAGCATCTCTTATCGCCCTGCGAGACACTCATCATTCTTCCTCAAAACCGACTTTTCCTTACATAACCATCATCATCACAATATCCCAGAATATTCAAACCACATCGTGAAGGATGACGGGTAATTCATCTCACTCATCAGGTGCTGCACCCAGTAGTAGGAATGTTTGATGTTGAAAGAAGTATCGATATCTTGAATCGATAAAAGTCGCATGCGGAATCAATGACAATATCTCCTGATCAAAAATATCGATATAAGGATGTAATTCAGTAGCGAAGTGGTAAACCGGTATAAGTCGATTTTGACTATTGGCCAGTTTTCAATAAATATCTCGGAATCTAAGGAAAATAGCGAAATTGTTGTCATCTTCTTTTTTGTAGCTCTCAATTTGCTCTACAAAAAAGGTTATGACAAAAATTTTGCTATTTCCCTTAGATTTTGAGATATTCATTGAAAACTGGGCAATAGTCAAAATCGACTTATACCGGTTTACCACTTCACTACTGAATTAATTTATAAAATTTTAAAAATTCAGCTTATTTGATATAATTCACAAAAAATTGATTGAAAAAAAAACTCAAAATTAAATTCGATTGATTATTTTTCCCAATCGGATTTCGACCAATCAGAGCACAGTATTTTAAACTACGAGACAGTTTTTTTTCGAATATTTCCTCCTAGCTTTTGAATATTTCGCAGTAGCTCTTCATTTTTTCGGCTCATTTCAGATCGAATCTTGTATTTGAGTCTACGGAAATCGGGTTATCTATCAACATAATTTGTTCAAATCTTTCCTAATTCACCTCCTGATGTTGTCTACTGCACTCTGATTGGCCAAAATCCGATGGAGAAAAATAATCCGACAAATAGCCCTCGAGCTTCAAAATTAATCGGGTTTTCCCTCAAGCTTCTCTGCAAACAAACCATCGTGCCAAGTTTTTCAGAAAAATCGCTCGCGCAAAGCGCTAGGGATTTTTTATCGATATTATCTGTCGATAGGCCAGCAAACTGCGATCTAATCGAACAAAGTGACGTTAGAATCGCGGTTTTTTCGGGCCGAGTGACATAAAAAACGTTTTGTCACAAGGTCGAAAAAAATTTTTTTGGCGAGTGTGAGGGTTGCAGACCGAGGCGAAGCCGAGGAATACAATCACACGAGGCAGAAAAGTTATTTTCGGCCGAGGGACGAACATAATTTTTCTTCACAATACCCGTAAACGGCGTTTGACGGATACGAAGCGTCCGTAAAACGACGTTTTACGGACAGTGTGATAGAAATAGCTCTGTTCAGATAATTGCGCCTTAAGGTACATCCCAAGACAACACCACCTAAAAGTAACTTCCTATGGATTTTCGAAAAAAATTCTAAATGCCGTAATTTGCTGCATTCTCATAAGTTATTGAGTTTTTGTATCCTCATATGTTATTCATAAAGGCAACAATAACAGTTTCAATCAAATAAGAAATTATTTGTAGGGAAGCGTAGGGTAAAACGAACACTTGACTTTTTTTGAAATATGTATGACTTGCTGAATTGTTCATGAAATGGAATAATTTTATTTTTCAATTGAAAAATAATGATTCCTCTTTGTGATGAGCTTAGACTGAGCTCAATTGATAAATCTGTTTCTGAGTTATAAATATTTTTAAAAAAGTCAAAAGTGTCCATTTTACCCTACCCTCCCCTAAATCGATTGTTTGAATCATTTGTGAAAAATGAATTGAAAAAAACTCCAAAAGCTAAATTCGATCTTTGAATATTAATATCGAAGTTTCACTATCGATCCCTTCGGAACCAAAAATTTCAAAATGGATCGACATTAAAACTTCGACCCATCGAGCTGCAGAAAATCTGTAAAATAATCGATTATCACCCGTTGAAATATCGATTCTCAGAATAATCGACTATCGCACATCCCTCCTACCCACTCGCACGGAGACAAGACTGCATCAATAGACTTCCAGGTTGGATTTTTGTGATCAGTAAAGAGCGTGAAAGTGTAGTTGAAAAACGTCCCCCTACACCCCGTTAGTGAACGATGCTCCGTGCTCCGGCATGGGGTGACACGTCGTCCTGATGCACAAGTGACCCCCCCCAAAAAGTGAGTGTCCCAGTGAACGAGCCCACCTAAACATTGATTAATCCCCCGCGATGTTTCACCGAAGATGTGGAGACGGAATAAGTCTGATGAACAACAGTGCCACTGCTGTTCGAGTCTTCTCAACCTACGAGGAGGAGAGAATTCACTCAGCCCAACCCCTGCAGAACGACGAGCTCTTCGAGATAAGGATTGACAAGAAGGTGAGAAGATCATGGAGTGGAACAGTGGAGATTGGTGTGACCACTTACGACCCAGAGACCCTAAACGACCCCCTGGGGCAATCCTGGCTGCTGACAGGCACTGGCATCCTCAGAAATGGTCATCCCCTGTCAGACTCCATGTGCGACACAAACCTAGACGAGCTAGACGAGGGGAGCACCATCGGTGTCATGAGAACCTCCAACGATGAGCTTGTTTTCTACATAAACGGAATATCCCAGGGTGTCTCAGCCACCAACATCCCCTCGTGTGTCTTCGCAGTTGTCGAGATGTCGGGTGACTATGTCCAGGTAACAATAACAAATCCAAAAGCAACAACGAACGAACCTAGAGACGAAGAGGAGATCAATAACGACTTGACGATGGGTGAAGCATCGTCAGCGAGTTTAGTAGCCAATCTCAATGTCAATCTCAATGTCAATATGAATGTCAATCAGCCGAAGAATCCGAGCCCAGCGACAATCAGGGAGGATCGATTGAGATTTCACGAGAGGGTTGGGGCACTGGTTAAATTATCGAATAACGCGAGAACAGCGGAGAGACGCAGGCCTCTCGATGAGTTCAATAATGGGGTTGTTATGACACACAGACCCCTGAGGGATAACGAGCTGTTTGAGATCAGGATCGACAGACTTGTGGACAAGTGGTCCGGGAGTATTGAAGTTGGTGTGACGACTCACAGTCCCACAGCCCTGGAGTTCCCAGCCACAATGACGAACATGAGGTCTGGAACGACGATGATGTCAGGCTGTGGAATTCTGACCAATGGCAAGGGGATTCAGAGGGAGTACGGGGAGATCAATCTGGACGAGCTGAGGGAGGGCGACAGGGTGGGGATGATCAGGAGGAGCAATGGCAATCTCCATTACTTGATCAACGGTTTGGACCAGGGGGTGGCTGCCAAGGTACCCCCCAACGTCTGGGGGGTGGTGGAGCTGTACGGAATGACAGTTAAAGTGACTATCGTCGACAGAGACGAGAGGGAAGAGCAGAACCTGGTGACGAGACGAAACACCCTTCATCTGCAGGGTCTCAGTGAAGTTGGGGAGGAGGAGCCCCTGGACAGACTCACCTTCCACCCCTGCTGTGGCACCCACGCCGACGTCATCAACAATGGGAGGACTGCACACAGGCCCAACGCCATGGACGACTTCAACAATGGAGTTGTCTTGACGCTGAGACCCCTGAGACCCAATGAACTGTTCGAGGTGAGGCTCGACAAGATCGTCACCAAGTGGGCTGGCTCAATCGAGATCGGGGTCACCACTCACTCCCCCACTGAACTGGAATTCCCATTCACCATGACTAACGTCAGGTCTGGCACCTGGATCATGACTGGAAATGGCGTGATGCACAATGGGACTTCTATAATCGACCAGTATGGACAGAATTTGGATCGTCTCCAAGTGGGCGACCGAGTTGGAGTCATGAGGAAGGACAATGGAGTCCTGCATTTCTTTGTCAATGGAGCGGACCAGGGGGCAGCTGCTGTCGGGGTTCCTGAGAAGGTCTACGGGGTTATCGATCTTTATGGGCAAGCGACACAGGCCACAATCGTCGATAACACCGATTTTTACAGCCCGACGACGAACAACTCGAGCTTCAGCAATACGACGCTCTACAGCGATCTGAGGTTTCATCACGTGCATGGGAAGCACGCGAGGATATCCAACAACGGCCTGACAGCTTCGAGGATCAGGGCTCTGGGGGAGTTCAACGAGGCCATTGTCATTGCGAACAGACCCCTGAGGGACGGGGAGCTCTTCGAGGTGTCGATTGACAAGATGGTGGGGCGGTGGAACGGAGCGATCGAGGCAGGAGTCACTGCCATCAGGCCTGACGAGCTGGAGTTCCCCTCCACCATGACTGATATTGATCATGACACCTGGATGCTCTCTGGCTCCACAGTTATGAGGGACGGAGTGACATTACGACACCACTACAATTGCGATCTGGATAAATTGACTGAGAGGAACAGAATAGGGATGATGAGGTGTGCAGACTCCAGTCTCCATTACTATCTCGATGGGATTGACCAGGGGATAGCCTGCACTGGACTCCCAGCTCACGTCTATCCGGTGATTGATCTGTACGCCCAGTGTGCTCAGGTCACAATTGTCCAGCCAGAGAGGAGGGACACGATGACCCAGCAGTACCTTCCGTCTGAGAACAGCATGAGCCAGCAGCCAACGTCTGTTGTCCAGCCTCAGGCGCAATCAGAGATAACTCACAAATTCCACGAATCAGTTGGCCTCAACATCCAGTTGAACAGCGATCGAGTGATAGCAGCTCGCTGCAGAGAGTACAATCACGCAGTTCTGCTGAGTGATTCAGCCCTGGAGAACAACGAGCTGTTCGAAATCTCGATTCAGGAGATTGCAGGGGAGTGGAGTGGATCGTTGAAGATTGGGGTTCTCAATAACGAGACTGGTCACTGGTTGACGTCGATGGATCTCGTCCCGGGGATGACGTCAATCCCCGCAGACGCCTGGTACCTCACGGGGAACGAGGTGAGACATAAGGGCCTGGTTTTGTGCTCCAACTACTGCCCCAGCCTGGACTGGCTCAGGGTTGGCGACAAGGTAGGGCTGAAACGAAGTCACGAGGGGAGTCTGAAGTTCTATATAAACGGCGAGGACATGGGGGTGGCTGCACTGAGTATACCTGAGATGATCTACGCTGTTGTCGAGCTGTTTGGCAGCACAGTGGCTGTCAGTATCACCAGCAACAAGCAGCAGGCCTGCGTTATGTCGCTCAATGCCAGTCTCAGGCTGCAGGATTCACTGGAGCTCATTCTCGATCCAATGCCACCAGTCATGAGGAACGATCTGGGTATGGACACATCGATAGAAATGTCAGAGGCCAAATTATCGGAATTGCCGATCACTCCTGTTCAGCCGGTGTCAGGGATTGCGGAGGGAGAGTTGAGGTATGAGTTCCATGAGAATCATGGGAGAAATGTTGAGTTGGAAGGGAGGATTATTGCCAGGAGAGTGGCTAGCTACAATCAGGGGGTCGTAATGTCCAGCAGACCTCTGATAAAAGGGAAGATTTTTCAAGTGGAAATTGAGAAAACCAACGATCGATGGGTGTCAGGAATTCTCTGTGGGGTTTCCTGCATTTCTCCTGAGAAAGCCAGCTTTCCACTGACTGCTCTGGGCTTCAAGAAACACTCGTGGATCATCTGCAGCGAGTGGATGTCTCACAACGGCACTAAAGTCAAAACTCGGTATGGGGCCAATCTGGAGAGCCTCCAGGTGGGCTCCACCATTGGATTACTCGTCGACGAGGAGTCGAGGCTGCATCTCTTCATCAATAATATCGATCAGGGAATTGCAGTGACGGATCTACCACTTTATGTTTACGCTGTCATCGATCTTTATGGACAAGTCGAGGAGGTCTCTATCATTGGATCCCCCGCAGACACTGTATGCACGAATAACGACGCTATTAACATGGCAATTGCCAGCAATATCGAGCAAATGGGTGCGATTGAAGTTGATGAACCGGAGAATTCGCGGGAAAAGGCTGATTTGGAGTGTCATGAGAAGGAAAATGTCACAGCACTTCCGTCCAGCTCTTCTTTGAGTGAGAAGAATTACGATGAGACTTGTAGGAATAGCAGTGATGCTGAGGTGAGTGGGCACTCGTCCAACAGCAATAACTCGAATATCAATGGGGGGATTGGGAAGTCGTTGACCAGTAGTGTCCACTCGGACAGTAATAATTCCGATGTTGGGTCGGAGATCAATAATGAGGCGCGGGATGCCTTGCTGGAGTGTTCAAATATGAAGAATAATTTGGAGATTTCTAATGACAGTAATACAATGTCGAATAATGAGATCGAGAATGAGGAGGAGGAGCCTGAGTCTAATGCACCGAGCCTGAAGAGTGACTGTACAAACGTAGAATTAAATAATGCAACGAATATTAATATCAGAAATGGATCGGCTGCTACCTCGAGCAATATGTCGAGTCTCAGTACAGCTATTCAGTCGACAAATGCCAATAATGCGGTTAATGAGAGTATTGCCTCTAATAGTCAAATAAGTAATGTCATGGGACATGATAATTCCCAGGATAATTCAGTGTGTAATAATCTGGGGGGAAATGTTCAGAATAATCTTGCTGCTACGTCTGGTGTCTCTAATGCAACGGCCAATGTGCAGGAGCCAACCCAGGGGCAGATGTCGAAGAGCAACAGTGCCATTATACCCAATCAGATTAGTGTGGCACAGAGCCCTCAGCCTTCGGTCACGCCTAGTAGGATCTTCAGCTCACCGTCCATACCTCAGATTAATTCTACGATTATTATCACACCGGCGAAACAGTGCGAGTATCTCAAGGCTTGTGGGAGGCTCAAGAAGTCACTGGTACTCCCTGATGAGTTCTTCTCGCTTGATGAGGTTGTTTGCTACTGCAGTGGGTGCTATAAGGTCGATAGTGATGGGCTCATGTGTAAGAAGGGCGAACCTCCTGCCGAGTTTGCTGTTCCCGTTGGGTGGGTCAAGTTTCCACTCAAGCAGAGCATCAATGCTAATCAGATACCGCAGAGCACCACTGATAAGTGGCATGTGGCTTTCTATGGAATTCGATTGAATGCTATTAGGTAAATGACTTTTATAATGTTAATTGGAGGTTTTTAAGTCTTTAATTTTGGATTTTGGTTTTTTGGCATGTCTCATTTAGTTTTGATTTTTTCTTTGGATTTCGTTTTTTGTAATTTTGTTTTCTAGATTGTATCAGCATTACAGGCACGAAAAAATTTAAGAGAAAAATTTGAGAATTTCTATTAGTTTTTGGCAGATTCTGTTGAAATGTTCAGTAGAAAATATTCTATAGAGAAAGCCAAGAGAATTCGATTTTTCTATTCAGCTGATTCTATTGAGATATTTTCTATAGAACTTCCTCGGCTCAAATTTTTCAATTTTTTGTTCATTCTATTTTTCTTCTTTTTTCATCAAGAAAATTAATTTAGTTAATAGAAAATTAACGTAAAGAAAATTCATGTTTTTTAAAATTTCATTTCCTTCATTTAAAAAAATCTCACAATTATTTTTCAGATGGATTCTCGACAGAGGAGAACTGCTAACAGTTGAGCAACTAGACACGAGTAATCTAACAACGATTATCAATAGTGAAGGTCAAAATCCTCAGGTGGTCTTCTCCCCCAGCATAAAATACGTGACCTCCGATGAAGGCAGTCGAAAATATCCGTAAGTTGTTTTTCCCCAAAAACAGTCACGCACGAGAAAATTTTATAGAAAAACCTAATGAATTCGATAGAAAATTCTATGGGACTTCTATTAAACTTCCACTGAAAATTCGATTAGTTTTTGGCCAATTCTGTTGAAGAATTCCGCAACTTTACTATGCGTTTTTTATAAAAAAAGGTTTAATTGAAACGATTTTATTAGAAAATCATTATAATTTCATCTTTATATCCAACTGTCTATTGAGACATTTCCTATAGGAATTTCTGGACGTATATTTTCTCCCTTTTTTTTTCACACAATTTTTTTTCTCTTTTTATTAGAAAAATCAAACAAAAATACCTGAAAAATTTGAGCCGAGAAATTTCTATTAAAAAATGTTAATAGAATAAGTTGAATGGAAATATCAAATTCTGGTGATTTTGTTCTATTCAATGCTTTCCATGCACCATGTCCTTTTAAAAAGCACACACAGATCAATTGCGGATTTTCAAACGCCAATAGAAAGTTCAAAAGACTATTAATTTTTTTGTCCCATTAAAAAACTTGGAAAATTCGAGCCGAAGAATTTCTGTAGAAGATAACTGAATAGAATAAGTTGTATAGAAAAATTAAATTCTATTGTTTTTTTCATTAAAATATTTTCTATTGCACATTTCTGCTGAAAACATGCGCAGAGATGCTGGAGACCTTTCCAATAGAATTTTCAGTAGAGTTTAAACCGAATTTCCTAGCAAATTCGCTGAGTTTTTCAACGAAATTTTCAAACAAATTTCCTGCTCAAAATTATTAATATCTTTCAAAACCAAAACACGTTCATCTTCATGTTCAAAATATTTATAATTGTCGGCAGGGAATTTTGATGCCCCTCAATTACTAAGTACACATGTCAACTTTGTACTTGAAGTAGCATGAATAAACTCCAGTTGAGTCGTTGAGTGTAATGAGAAACAATTAATTCAAAAAGCCCCAAAAAATTATTCGTTATCGATGATTTTTTCTATGAATTCTAAATTTGAATAATCTCTTGTTGGACTAGGGTATTTGAACATGAATTATTTGTCACAAAACATTGACACTGACGATAATTTTCATATTAGGCATAGAATTTCTATTTATTTTTCTGATCTTCAACGATTTTTTCTAGATTTTAATCTTTTTCCGGAACTCAAAAAGTTGATTTTCTCATAAGACTGCATTATTTTTGCACTTCTAGACTAATTATTATTAATAATACCAGACTGCCAATCGAGCCCAAACTCAATCACAATGTTTCCCTTCATATTAATTATTCGTTTAGAATTCATTTCAAATTTCAATCTTCAAAATTCACGTTATGTTTATACTACTTCGCGTATTTTGGAATTAGTCAACCTTAAGTTGTCCATAATTTTGCTAAAAGTCCATACCCATCAATATCTCTGATCATTCCAGATACATAGACACCCAGTCTAACAAGAAACTCAACGCCTCGACGGCATTTCAACTTCTGGTACGGCCTGGATCATACACAATTGGCTCTGGAAAAGACAGTATCGATGGTATTGAATCCACCGAGTGGGCGACAAAGGAGGCAGGGGCGACCGTAATTGTTGCACTTCTGATACACCTCGATGAATTTTAATCAACCCCAGATAGTCTCAATGTACGGTAATTCACGTCTAGCAGCAAATGTCAAGAATTCCCTGATCGATTGAGTCATGTCTAGATAGTTCATCCTAAGTTGTATTTAAATGGTCGATTAACTAAAAATATAAACATAATATATATTTCTATATTAAACTGCGAGTGAAGATGGGATTCTTCGATTATTGCTTATCCCTTTAACTGTGCGATTATTTAATATTCATTTCAAAGAAGTTTAAATGTGCTTCAATGTTGAAATCTCAACAACAATTGCACCGCAATTTTTAAAGCCTTCGTTTCTACGAATAAAAAAAAATCATGAATTTGTTTCACCGGTAAATTAATGGTATTTATAAATGCTGTACATAAAATGTCTATTCTACCTATCAATTAAATTTATACGCATTTTTCTGTGATACTTTATTGCAGCGTACGTGAATGATTTTACGATAAGAGCATTGTTAAGCCCACAGTGGTCCATTTGCAATGATTTTTATACCTTTGGAGAGTTTTTCTTATTTCCTGAATATTTTTTTTCCTTCGTCAGAAGTATATCTGAGGGAGTTTATCCAATTTTTGATTCAGTGCGTAACGTGAATTCTAGTCATCCAATTTTTTTTTACTGACAAATGTTGACGCATGAGGAATATGTACTGATGCAAAATAAAGTGGTGGAAATTAATTTCAATTGGATAAAAAGCAAAATGTGATGATGCTTATAATTTATAAAATGCACTTAAAGTAATGAATGTGATCGATTGAGACACATTGTGACCAGAAAAATAACCATCCACTTGCACTTAAGGGTTTAGTTGAAATAATCATTGGAGAAATTGAATTTTAAATGAATTATGGCCACCTAGAATCATTGAATTGCGAAATGTGTTGTCAGCTGCACAGCTAGACGTAGACATTGTACGATGCCACGTGCCTGAAGAAGTCGAATAGATATTGAGAATTGATCAGTAGCCACTTTTGATCATTGATTTGCGAGCACTTAGGAGTAAAATCGCTTCTATTCGATAAGAGGTGAAGTAGAGAAATTATAGAAAATTAAGTTTGAAATCAAAGAGAGGAATCGAAAAAGCCAGTGGATGCAATGAATCTCGAGGTTTTGGAGATTACGCTAGAGTTCACATTGATCATTGTATTAATTTACCTCACACTGTAATGAACATAAGTCTGTATTTATTTATAAATAATTGGAACGTAATTGGAGGGGTCGAGCTGAATTGTTTATCTAGGTATTAATGGGGTGATGTGTGAATGGTGAGAATAAAGAAAGTCATATTAATTGTGTGACAGTGATTTTGTTATTACGCAATTATTTATTTGAACGTTGGAATATTGATAGTGAAGAGATTAAGCCCCGGGTGTACTATCTTTCGAATGTTATCTGGATTTTTTTAAATCTTTCGTGATCCAAAATTGTCAATTGAGTGGTACATCATGTAGAAATTCCCAAAAATTATGATAGAATGATAAAAAAAAATAGAAAAAATTCTGAACTTTTTCCAAGAGCGTTTTCAATTAAGATTCAGAATGAGTTGAAAAAAGTAGAAAATACAAATATCTGATTCGCCGTGGCAAATTATCTATTAGCTGTCATTTTCCATGGTGGATAAAACACCAACTCCTCACGGGGAGTGTCTGCTAGGTATCTCAATTTTCAAAAGTGGTATGTAGTCATCTGCCATTTTTATGTGATGAAAGTGTGATTAAAAAATTCTCCAAAATATTACAACTTTTTTGAAAGAGCCTTTTCCGTAATAATAAATGTCTCTGTGCAGTGTGGGAAAAGATTTACGAAATCAGTCTTCCCCCTGCATGATATTGAGTGACAGGCCGCCATTTGTCACCGTAAATCAGATACATTTTTCAATTTCTTGTTATTCAACTTATTCTGAATATAAATTAAAAATGCTCTTTGAAAAAATTACGAATTCTCCTTTTTTTCGATTATTCATTCATAATTTTTCAAAACTTCTGCATGATGCAGGACTTAATTGACAATTTCAGATGACGAATGGTGAAAAAAAACATCGAGATAACGGTCGAAAGGTAGTACACCCGGGCCTTAATTCAATTAATTTAGTATTTTTCCTTTTTTTGTATTTCCATATTATTTTTATTCCTTTTTTGGGATTCTACACCAGCAACGTCTTCGTCGTGAATCCTGGGTTACGCTAAGAGCTGGTGAGGTTTGCTAAATATCTCACTACTAGGTAAAAAATAACGTTAATTCTGAATGTATATCGTTTATCGTGTTTCCTTTAAGAATTCATGCCTCGAGAAGGCGAGGCGCAGTATTGGGGACCATCCCGCACATCTACTTGAGCACGTACCTATAAAGGAGGATCACTCCTAGCGGTGGAAGTTATATTGTGTGGCCTAGTTCACAGATAGGGACGAAATAACACCTCATAATACTCGTATAAACTCGAGTTTATAAGAGCCACGTTTTATCATATTTTTCCCGTTAATAACTCACAAAAACACATCGAATCAGGATATAAAATCATAAATCCAGGGTGAGCAGGGTTGAGTAATACCGAATATTCAAGCGGTTCTGCCCAGCTGCGCTTCTTCTGCTTCTGTTCTTTGAAGAGTCGTTCAGAGAATACATTTTTTGAGCTCTGTACACACACGAAAAAAATTAATAGAAAAACCTAGAATACGCTAGAAAATTCTATTGCATTTCTACTAGTTTTTGGCAAATTCTATTGACTGTTCAATGAAAAATATTCTATTGAAAAAGTCAATAGCATTCGATTTTTCTGTACAACTTATTCTATTGGGATATTTTCTATAAACATTTCTCGGTTCAAATTTTCCAAGGTTTTTCAAGAGGAGAAAAGAAAGTGAAAAAAACTTGAAAAATTGATATTGAGGAATTTCTATAGGAAAATTATAAAGAAAAATCAAATTTGATTGATTTTCAATATGAAGTATATTTCTCAAATATTTTTTCAATTAAATTTCCTAAAAACAGTAGAATTAGCAATAGAAATTTTCCACTTCCTACACCCTACAGAAGATGAATTAAATTAATTTTTTT